ACAAGGCTAGACGTCGGCGCGAAGCAGGCTACGTGGTCTTTAAAGCGTGGTGCTTTCTCCCGCTGGCGACGTGCCTCCACAAGTATGTCCTTCACAAAATCCTCTCTCGCAGCCTTGGCTGGGGGCTCTTTATCTGTGGACCAGACACGAGCTTGACAAGCAAATCGGACGATTCCGCTGGGATGGCTGCCTAGTTGCCAAGAAGAACCTGGACGCAAGCTTCCTCGAACGCGGGGCTCTTGACGATAGATGTGTCAGGCGCGAAGTACTTCTTGGCGTCTGGTGTCAACTTGATTAAGGCGTCGAACAGGTCGAGCACATCTAGCAGCGTCACACTATCAGCCTGTTGAAGCTGCTTCGAAGTTGACTCGAACTTCTTGAGGCTCTCTACAACACTCACAAGAGCATTCTCGTCACGACGGGAGAGCAGGATCGACGTTATCTCATCGTCATCAATCTTATCCATTACTTCCTTGAGCTCTACAAAGCGGCGGACCATCGCAAATGCCGATGACCAGCGAGTCGCCTGACGAAGTACCGGACGCAAGGTGATCACTCGACTGAATACAAAACAATATATATATATATATTAGAATTCAATCGCAGAGTAGTGTAAGGTTAAAAGAGGACTTACCGTAAATGAACAGCGGCGATCAGGGAGTTCTTTAGCTTGATCATGACGGCCTGGACTTGATCAAGAAGGTGATCGTGCTCAGCGAGCATGAGGTTCACGGCCAGGTTGAGGCGGTGACTGGCGCAACCAACCAAAGGGACATTGAGTTCCTTAGCAATTTTACAGTTTACACCGCAATTGGCACCAACGATGTACGCGATGTTGTCGGTTGACTTGTTGAAGAACTTTAATATAGCCCCTATGAAAAACACAAGTGCAAGGGCCGTATGGGCGTCCACATCGTCATCCACCAATGGGGCCATGGCAAGCAACACGTTTTCAGTCTCCCCGTCGTGGTGAAAGGAGGCGAAGATCGCGACGAAGTGCTCCGACCGAAAGGTCAACCCGTCAAAAAGGATGCCAAACGATTTAAAGAGGATCGGCAATTACGATTTCGACCTCACGAGTTAGTAGCGTCATGTACTTCACGAAACTGTCGGTCGACAGAGCGTCGATGCTCACGTAGTCGGCAGCGGCCTTCGACTCGTAGAAGCTGAATGGAACGCTACCATGTCGATCCAGGCAAAGATCTTGACCGTCTTGTCGTCGATGAAGCCGACAAGAGCGCCCTTCTCACCAACAGCTGCCGTCACCTCGGCCACGAAGTTGGAATGACACACAAAGATGTGCTGGAGCATAGCCAGTGTTGGGCTCCATCATGCGACGGACACCACATCGGCAGCGATAGAAGACGGTGGCCTCACCATCATCGTCCAGCACGACCTTGAAGTAGAACCTTGCCACTTCCTTCGAGGTGAACGGAGCTGTGGACTGCTTGGCCTTCTTGTCCTTGCGCTTGGCCTTCTTTAACGTCCTCGTGGGCGCGATAGTGACCTGACTCGTGGCCGAGGCTGTGGGCGGCTGGTTCTTCGTGCGCTTCGTGCGCTTTGGAGGCTGCGGTGGGTGTGGGCATTGAAGACAGATCGGACAATGACAATGCTGCACAAAATGCAGGTGGCTCTCGCGGAGTCTCAGCGACCAACGATCAAAATGAGAGAGCAAGAGCGCGGCAGATCGATTGTAGACTGCGGCTCAGCTGGACCGCTGGTCCGTAGGGCTCCATCGAGCTCGATTAAAGGTTATTGCCTGGATTTGAGCTATTTTCGGATTATATTAGAGAACTCTCGAAGCGCACTAGATTTGAGCTTCAGTTTCAGTACAACACCTTTTTACTGAAACTTGAATCCTTGCCAACCAAAGGTGCGCTTCGTACTGCCTCAGTTTCAGTTTGACGAGTTTCAGACTAACGGCAATGACAGTGGAAGAAGCGATGCCGGACCCGGAGACTTATGCGCTCACACCGCACACGTCTCCCAGACCGGGGTTCCATTTCCTAAGCGTTTATTTAGACAACAAAATTCTGATACTTCTTAATAGGCAGACGCGTTGCCGACAAGGCGTAGAATAAGGTTTTACATGCAGCGGTAAGATAACAACACAACATGAGAGGTGTAAATTATGGTTATTATAAGTAGGCCCGTAAAGAAACGTTAATCAACTTAGAGCCTAATCTACGTTTAACCATCCTGGATTATCGTTTAAGTATCAAATAAAAATACCGCCGTCAACAAAAGGCGTCGTGCGACGCATCGTTATATCCAAAGGCTACAGTATAACCATAACAGGCACAGATTGGAGTGTCTAATGACTAATTCTGAATCAGCACAAAATGAACACACTTCAATGCATAAGAAAATGCTACAGCCTGAATATTTTTATTAAATATTCAAACTGTTACACTTTTAATTTTCTTTCAAAGTAGCGAGTTTGGTATGCGAAGTGGTTAATAGTCAGTTTATTACAAGCTTAACCAGGCAGTACAAGCGGGTATTTGATGCAAGCTGGACAGATATTCTTTGCATTGTTGCAATCTAGGTTTCAGAAACGGCCCGTGAAATCGATCACGACGCTAAACTAAACATATTATTTAGCGTTTTTAGACTGAAGTGCAGGTGGAAGATTAAGGTACAGTGATCGCCAACAACAACAAAGAGACTTTGCCAAGATCACTAGCGTAATCGTTTATGAGCATGGTAAGTATGATGCTAGGGTCTCAGTCTTTTGTACCGGTAGAAATATTTACACGGCTTACTGGGAGCTCAGCAATTTGTAGCAAAAGAAACGCAGATTTATAAAAATAAAGAAGTCGATTTAGGCACATGGGGGACTCAGAGGATTTGGACTAATTATCCCGCCAAAGCGAAGCGAAGGCGGGAAGGCAAAAATCTAGAGTAAAACCTAAATTACCGCCGCGTAGCGGCGGCGCTCGGCTAGCTAAAGACCAAACCGAGGCCTTTTAGTGTAATGTTGGCAAATCCCGAGCCAGGCTTCCAAAAAGGGACAAAAATATGAAACGGAGTGCGTTGTCACGCTCCGACGATTTACAATAATCGCATTATAGTATTCATTCTCGCTGAAGACGCCAAGGGCAGATTGCACCCGAGGACGCAAACGACATCTCCCTGGGATTCGGTATTCAAGTACAGCAAAAAATACTTGAGCTGGGTCTAAAAAGGGTCTATAACGCTGATCAAACTGGAACGGATACGGAAAAATGCAACAATTATTAAGAATTCTAAAAAATTACCTATTTGTTGGGCGTGTTTTTGTTTTGAAATTGTACCAAAATAAACGGTTACCTCTCGCGGTTCTTGAACAGTGTGGGTTCGGCATGGTGGTAAAGATAAAAAGCGAGTTACTGTAATGAGCTCTAATACTAAGCTCATGTTGCCGCAAGAAGCATCGCCGCCAGTGCCATGAGGTTTTGAAGCCTACAACCTCGCAATCTCGTGTGCCTGTATCTCTAACATGGAGCCACTCACAGACGCGCTATCTTTTCTCAGTATATTCACCCAGCCCACGAGCTCCTGCTCGGTCTCGGCAGACAGTATCGTGACCACACCAACCAGGCGCAAATACTTGAGGTCAGCGGTTTTAGGATCTTCGCACAGTATTTCAGAGATTCATAGCTTGTACGCTTCGAGTCATTCTCAACGAACTAAAATACTTGTCTACAGTCTTCTTCATGCGCTTGTTGCACTGAAAAGGGTACTCGATAATCTCTAACTTTAGCCTGTTCGTGGTACACATCCGTCTGAATGTAGTAGCTGGGTGCGTCCTTGCCCCGTCAGTCGAGGCTGGCCTGGTGGCTTTATCTTCGGTAGGGTAGACACGTGGCGATTGAATGGTTCGCTTGAGCTAATGGCCCATCTAGAACAATAACAAAATCAAATTCGTACTGTGATTAAATTGATAGCTGATTGGTCAATTCCAACGTGTCCGTAAATGACCAACGTCCGTTTGCGCATAAGTTTTACGGTATCAGCCCACCTGTCTAGTTGTCTCAGCCTGCCCATGGCAAAACAGTCGAGTGGCCGCGGCAAAGGCTTTACAGCGCCTCTAGTCGAGCCAAATATTAGTCCTTACTGTGTATCCGTAATGGCATATGTAGGACCACTTTTCAAATGCCGTCAATAAAGTACTGTAGTATGTGACATATAAAAGGGACGTTTTGCCGGACATATTGCGGGCCAACCTAACTGAAACCTATATTAATGGAGATGATGTGCAACACACCACTAATCGAGACGCACCATACCCTGATCCTGAAGTATTAGAGTGTCGTATTTTGAGACACTGGACAAACGTGGTACCAAATTAAAGGTCATAGAATGTAGTTTCATGTGCCAAAGCAACGCTTCCAATTATTAATGGGAAGTGAGATATTCACCAGAAATTCGAAGGACCTTCTTTACATTTAACTGTAATTTGTATGAGAGGGGGATATCCCGAAATATGTCCACTACGCATTGCAACAACAGGGCTCTATAATAATAGCAAGAAATTGGAAAGTCATTTTTAATACGTCGATGTGGACCACATTCCCGTTTGTGTGCAAGTGACACAACTTCGACGTTTTTCCTTACACAAAACGATAGCATTTTGATTTTGTGTCTTGGATTTGTGCTATTTTCAGAGTGGGGCGTCTGAAAGTGTTGAGGACGCTAATCATGTATACATGTCGGGAGCATAGACATTTAATGCAGGCACAGCAGCAAAAGCGCTAACTTGTTTGCGTTGCTTTCTTCATTTCGATGCAATTCTTTATACAAACTGTGTCGCTCATAAATACATGATAGTCAAGATTCCGGCAACATTTATGATCGCCGCTCGCTGCAATACAAAAAAGTACTTTGAAAGTGAGGTAAGTAAGTATCGAAGAAGGTAAAATTTAAAACCTATGCAGTCTCCACAACCCGTTGTGTGGTGTCAAGGCTCATATGCTGATAGTGTTGCACCGCAACTTTGCGGTTAAATATGTACGCGCTCAGCGGATACGCAGCGACGTAGTGGCTTTGGCCTGCGCGGCGAGAGCTTCTGGACGCTCGCGCTTCGTGGCAGCCTGTCGGAGTCGGTGCGCCACTGCAAGCGACGTTGGGCGTGCGCTCGGGTCTGGCAACAAACAGTCCTGCGCCAGCTTTTTAATAACCTCCGGACACGTAACGCGGAACGTAGGCTTCCAACCTTCGGCTGCAATCTTGTGGACAATTATGTTCTCGTTCATCAAGCGCGAGTCGCTGTCTTCACTGCTTCCTTCGCCAGCGTTGGTGTGGGACCGTGCTGTCAGTTTCTCTCGCTCAGTGAACGGCAAGTCGCACGTGTCGATCTCTGATAAAACAACGCCAAAAGCATACACATCCGAGGCCACAGACGACTGATCCCCACTCGCCAACAGCTCTGGAGCCATCCAGCGTCCTGTACCACGTACTCGAGGACCACAACGAGACGATTTGTCGGTAGTACCGGTAGTGGGATTCTTCTCTCCTCCTTCTGTAGCTGCGTCAGCCGACCGTAAGCTGTCATCCTCGCATGGAAGATAACGTGAGAGACCAAAGTCCGTCAGCTTGGCACGAAGGTTGCTACGTAATAAAACGTTGGCAGACTTCACGTCCCCATGCACCAGAGGCGGATTCAGCGAGTGCAGATAGACGAGGCCCTCAATAATGTCAATAGCCAGACGCCATTGCGATTTCGTCCACGTCCAGATACTGAGGTATCGCCCACTGGACCCCCCAGACGCGCTCGTGGAATTATCTCCACTGCGCTTGACAGTATTCAGAAAAGTCCGCAGATCGCCTCGAGGCAAATACTCCAGAACCAGCAGCAGATCACGCTCCGCGCTCAGCGCTACACCCCGGAACTCGACAATTCGATTGTGTTCTAGCCGCGACATTATGCGAATCTCCTCCACAAATTCCAGAATGGCGCGGCGTCGATGGTAGACTGCAGAGACCTCGTTCCCACTGGACGAGGTCGGGGTCTTGGAACCTGCCATGACTTCTCCCAGTAGGTTCTTCACCACCACCTCCTGCGAGCGGTGCATTGCACGCCACACCTCGCCATTCGCACCAGCAGCCAGTTTTTCTTTCTTGACGATCGTGTCGTAGTCAATACGATGAGAAAGCAGCTCTTCGTCCTCCCAAATGCGCGTGATGCAAGGAAGATCCGACGCCAAGATCGATGTTTCTTCCTCTACGTCCTCGTCCTGATTCTGCGATAACTCCGTCACCACTCTGGACGCCAGTTCCTCGTCCTTTGCACCCGACGCCAACCTGTTCCTAGCTGCAGTTTCCGACTGTTGACAATCGTACTGAAGATGAGGTGGGGCTGACTTGGGCGCGTCACTGCCGTGCCCTCCCAAGCTCTCTCTCCTCTGGACCACCAATCTCCCTTTGCTTCTGCTTCTCGATCGGGAAGTCGAGAGCAGTCCGCTGCTGCTACTAAAGCTCTTGAAACTGTTACTGGGGATCGGTAGCGTATTGCGTCTTTTGCCACTTTTTGTAGCGTCTTCAAACACAAAATCCGGATCTATCACCGCAGCATGTTCCTCTTCCTGATCCACGTCTGGCTTCCTCAGCGCGTAGCTCTTCATGTGGTATTTGAAGCAGTGCGTCCAGACGCTGCAGGCCTTGGCTGACACAGCCTTGAAGCGCTCCTCCCCTGTAGAATAAAGCCTCTGTTTATCTCCAGGAAATCGACTCCGACTTAGGCTGCTCGCTAATGAGTCTGACGCTTCCATGTGCAGATCTCGATCCTGTAGGTAGCCCTGCACCACGAAGCTGCGGTCTGCACGACTCGTAAGCGTCGCTTTGGTGAGCACCAGGCGGCGCAACTGCTTCCCATTAACCGTGTCGTCATCAGAGAAGACGAAGAGCGTTGCCTGCTGCGCCTTAAATACGCAAAAGCGGCGGCGGTAGCGGCGGAAAATTCCAAAGCCCTCGCGGCGCCATAGCCAGCCACGTAGACGGACGGGAAGCGCCAGCGTTCGCTCAGGGTACGACGGAAGTGGATGCTGTTCTTCCAGGTACTCGTAGACGCCCTGCTCGGTGTCGCGGACGCTGCGCACGGCCACCGACGCGCTAATCGTCACACTATCCTCCATGCTTTCGACTATTGTAGAAAGCGTGGATTCAGTATCGAAGGATAAAGTCAAGGCAATAAATACCACACGTGGTCAAATGAAGAGTATCAATATTCACAGGTTGCGACTTCGACATGGGAATGCGGCAATCAGATTGGTCCAATTGAATCCACTTTTGTCCAATCATATTTACTCTTCGGTAGATACCACGCGGCAGTCCTCAACCTGCGTCGGACGTAAGCAGAAGGAGCCGCCTCGTTCGCCATGGTGCTGTCGGCCGTGTTCATCACCGACCTAAAGGGCAAGGTCATCATATCCCGCAACTACCGTGGGGACATCCCCATGTCGGCGTCGTCCAAGTTTACGCGCTACGTGCAGGACAAGGACGACTCGGAGCAGCGTCCTGTGTTCACCGAGGATGGCTTTACTTTCGTCTATCTCAAGGTTCTACCACTCCATATTGTTATATTAGTATACACCAATACTTACTCTGTAAATGTGTATACCCTCTATAGCATAATAACCTGTACCTGATGACCGTAACCAAGGTGAACTCGAACGTGGCGCTTATGCTCATGTATCTCACACGCATCTGCCAAGTGTTCCGGGACTATTTCGGAGAGCTGGAAGAGGAGAGTATTCGAGACAATTTCGTCATTATCTTTGAGCTTCTGGACGAGACGATGGACCACGGATACCCGCAGACCACAGAGGCTCGCATTCTACGCGAGTATATCACCCAGGAGGGTCACAGACTGGAGGCAGCGCCCCGTCCGCCCACAGCACTCACCAACGCCGTCTCTTGGCGTAGCGAGGGTATCAAACATCGCAAGAACGAAATCTTTCTGGACGTTGTGGAGAAGCTCAACCTGCTGGTCTCTAGCAACGGCACTGTGCTGCACTCGGAGATTATCGGAGCTGTCAAGATGAAGAGCTTCTTGTCTGGTATGCCTGAACTGAAGCTTGGACTCAATGATAAGGCGCTGTTTGAAGCCACCGGCCGATCCTCCAGCAAGGGCAAAGCTGTTGAGATGGAAGACATTAAGTTCCATCAATGTGTTCGACTCGCGCGCTTCGAGTCAGACCGCACGATCTCATTCATCCCGCCTGATGGAGAGTTCGATCTCATGACGTACCGTTTGGCCACACACGTCAAGCCTCTGATCTGGGTCGAAGCCGTCGTGGAGCCCCACTCACGCTCGCGTATCGAGTACATGGTCAAGGCCAAGTCGCAGTTCAAGAGCCGCAGTATCGCCAACAACGTGGAGATCGTCATCCCAGTGCCACCTGATGTCGACTCGCCCAGCTTCAAGTGCAGCATTGGATCTGTTACGTACGTGCCCGACCGCGACGCCATCGTCTGGTCCATTAAGCAGTTCAACGGCTCTCGTGAGTATCTAATGCGTGCGCACTTTGGACTCCCAAGTGTGGACAACCACGAGGCCACAGACGACTGGAAAGCTCCCATTCAGGTCAAGTTTGAGATCCCGTACTTTACAGTCTCGGGTATCCAGGTGCGCTACCTCAAGATTATCGAGAAGAGCGGCTACCAGGCACTACCCTGGGTTCGTTACATCACGCAGAACGGCGACTACCAGTTACGCATGTCCTAGACGAGCGAAGAAGAAGAAGAAGCTTTAAGTAGAGGCAAAGAAGAGTAGACACTCGCAAGACGGAAGAGGCCTGTCTTTTGGGCTTTCGCTGCTGAATGTGAACGATGTATATGAGTAGATGCTTTGTCTTGCCTTGACTTGACTTTTGAAGCTCAGTAGGCAAAGTCGTCGCGCCAGCGTTTGTTGCGCTTCATCTGTCGAGAACGGCACGACCAAGGTTTCCAGCACCATCGATCAAGAGTGTGGCCAGCGTCGTCGAACGCGCTTTCTCGAGTTGGTGGCGTGGCTGCAGCTGCAATCGTCACTCGATCTTCATCGTGTTGAGTCTTGGCAGCAGCTCGGAGCGATGAGGTACTACCCCTCACATTCTCAGGTTCAGGTTCGACATAGTTCACTCGTGAGGAGCCCAGAGTCCCGACAGTCAGCGACTCGGTCGTCTGCAATGTGGCCGACCCTGAGCCCAGAATGGCTACACGTCCATATCTCGACGTCACATCGCTTGTGTCGATGCTCCCGCTGCCTGCAATGGCAAGAGACTGGTGGTCACAATGACACGTGTCTTCGTTCGAGACTGTAGCGAAGCGGACACTACCCGATCCCGTCTAGGCTGCCCCCAGACTTGGAGTTGCAAGCTTTGGCGCCTGCACGACACATTTTGACTGTCCCCAGCGTCCTGCAGCTGCTGCTCGAAAGCGATTCCTAGCAATGATCTCTGGAGCAGACAGCAAAATCTGTCCACCTCTGCCAGCGAAGAGAGAGACGCTGCCTGTGTGGAATCCCTGGTCTTGTGTCACGAACACTTGGCTTCCTCGAAAGGATGCCAGTTTGAGCTTCCCATACGGCCGATTGGTCACGAGGACATTGCCGTGTTCGCTGCCGGCCACCACGAGAGACCCGCCTCCAAACGCGCCCAGGCTCCGAAGCTCAGCCTCTCGAACAAAGATCTCAGTCAGAAGGTGTTTACTAGCCTCAACGGGCTCTTGAACTGGCCACCCACGAGGTGGACGAGGGTCGAATCCTATGAGAAGTCGGTTAGAACCTCGGGTGAGAACATCCACGTGCCCCAACAGGTCCTGGGCGTCACTCGATACCCTTACCACTGCCACAAGTTGCTCGTTGCTACCTTGAGCTTGAGCCACCTCGTCGAAGAGCGCTGGAGAAGCCACAGACACATACGTGATGCCAGGAGTAGCCACACGCAGTTTCTCCAACGTCTCACTGCCAGAAATGCCCCAAGTTTGCTGCACGCGTTGGCGCTCAGCGATAGGAGTCTGTGGGGCTTCAACAGCACCGACACGGACCTTGAAACCCATCGCCCGCTGCTGACCAATGTTCCGACTGGCGGACAGCACACAGCGACGTAGTTGTAAGTGAATCATGGAGGACGCTGGGAAAGTTTGGTAGAGAAGGGCAAGTTGCAAAGTGAGAGACGAACTATATTCCATCTTCAAGTCCGGCAACAATGCACTTCAACTTAGGATGATGGTACTTCACCATCATTCGGATCTTGTTAGAAGCGCTTCAGACAGATGTTGCTGCCATGCTCTTCGTATTCCTGTCTAGACACGAGTCGTTCGGACAATGCGCTTGACCCGGCGAGAGAGCAGCATCCTTGCCAGGCAGCGAGTACCGGACTAGTGTAGCACATACCCAAGCACAAGAAATTAACATACATCAATACAGACAGCAGCAGTCGGTAGCCCCACTCACTCTGAAGGTTCGTGCAGGCCAATGTCAAAATCATCCGGTACTAGTGACCTCAGATCGCGCTCAAGACGCTGTCGGAAGTTCTTGAACTTTGAGTTTCCACCGACCAGTAACATGTTGGCGTAAAAGGCACCTGAGAGCTCTTCTGGACACGCCCCAACAGCCTGCACGATCGTCTCGGCGATTCCTGCCTGGTTAATGCCAATATCCGACGGATGGAACAAAACTTCCGGCACTGCGACCATTTCGACGCCCATTTCCAGAGCCTGTTCATCATCGTTCTGTCGCACCGATTGCTGCTCATCAGTCTGTGTCTCAACGTCCTCTTCCATCTCGTCTTCCCTGCAGCGTCCTGTAAAAGAACGCACAAAGTCTGGCAACACCCAATGCTTCCGCTCCTGTCGATCCGAATGATACCGCTTAATGTCGCTCTCAAACTCCATCGAGCAAAAGCACAGCACCTCCTTCAGTTCGTTGATCACAGGCGTGTCGTCCATGACGTTCCACTGTCTGTAGGACACGATCTCCTTCAAGTAATTGGTGAGCAGCTTCCCACCGACATTAATCCGTCTCACACCCGGTAAATAAACCTTCCCGTCGATCACTGGCACCACGTGTGTGAACGACAACCCCGAGTCCACCACGAGATGACACGATGACGTCGAGAACCGCAGCGGGTCTTCTTCGTCCACCACTGCAGGCGACGTCGGTGGCTCCGATCTCTTCGTTATTTTCTGTCGCTTCCTGCCAGGACTTTTTATCTCCGGCATCTTGTTCGCTACAAGACTCGCCTGATATTCACGTTCGCAGTGCTCAGAGTACGAGAGCACGCAGCTCTCCGCTGCACTCACTCGAGCGTACGCCTGGAAGCCCAACTCCTCGAAAACTACCTGGTCCATGCTCTCATTCACGACTGCAGGTGCCAGAAGCGGAGCTGTAACCACTAGCGCGTGCTCAGACGGGTCCACCTTCAGCATCTAAAGAGAAGTAATTGTTAGACAACAGAGCGTAACCTTGTTGCAGTGGGGGTACACCAACTTCAACTTACTTCGCTGGACATTAAGTGTGCCCACAGCTCCAACTCAACGTTCCAGTTGACACAGTAACCCCTTCGGATATAAAAAGCTTCAGTATACCCTCCGTGACCAGCAATAGTATTCGATTTCTACCTCTGCACTGGCCGCAAGTAGCGCAACTTTGCGCGCTGGTGCTCGAGCTCCTGCAATTTCTGGCCCATATAGACCGCCGATGGGTTTGCAGACGTCGATGCTACGTGGTTTGGAAGAATCGACGCGGTCGGAGTCACGCCTGGAGCCACCACAGACGCCTTGAGCGTGGCTCCACCAGCGTCCAGCGCCACCACCTTCATTTTGTCAAAATAGTTACGAAGTGTAACCCTCAAAAACAAGTTACGCAACTTAAGGCTCCATATTTGTGGTAATATCCATTCTGCAACCTAACACAAGATTACGCGGAAGTGACAGAACGTGGACACCATGGCGGCTGGTCCAGCACCCACCACGCACGTGCCTGGCGCCAGCAGCGAGAATGCAACGGACCGGGAAAAGGAGTTGTGAGTCCTGCATCCAACGAGCCCACTCTTGGCCCTGAGCTCCCTCTGTAGCCCTCACAGTCTCGTTATGTTGCAGTTTTACAACCTGGCTTCGACTCATGGAGCGCCAACAGGAAGTGACTACGCTCTCGCAGACGCTGCAGAGTATATTAGCACAGACAGGAGAAGCATCCACTACAGTTCAGGATGCCAGACACCAAGCCAACCTACTGAGCGCCACCGACAAGACCATAACGGACTTGGTGGTGTCATTGAACGAGTTTTTCTTCCGGGATATCGTGCCAGCGCTCAAGCGAGCCAAACAGGTGGACGAGGCCCTCCCACCACAGGATCAAGACTCTCTGACCAGGTATTTAACACACGGAGACGAGGATGAGATGATGCCTCAAACCTTTGTGGACGACATGACCGGGTGGGGGACGGAGCGAGAGCAGAGCGACAGACAGAACCAGGAGAGAGCAAATAACGAACAAGTAGACGATAGGGAATCGAGCGACGAGGTCAATACCGGCGTGTTCCATGACATGTTGATCGCCAACAGTCTCAAGTTGACAGCAATGTTAGCGCCAGACTACATGCAACAACATGCGGCTCACGGACAACCTGCAGCAGCTCATAGTGTTGCTGCAGCAGCTCGAACTAGAGCACCTTCACTGTCACCTTCCGCTGCCAGCCCCAGAGGCAAAAGCAAGACAAAGACGTGCAAACGAAGCAGAAAGGTGCCGCCTCCCGTAGTGACGGACCTCCCTGCACGATCGACGTCTGGGTCTGTTACATCGACTCCACGCACCAAACCACGAACGCCCACTGACGAAGCAAAAAGGAAAGATCGTATCGGCAAACGAATGGCCGCCAATCTGATCGCTGAACAAGTGTTGGGTATACGGACGTACGGGAGCGCGAAGGAGTTCTGTATTCGCTGGCAAGGAGTGGAAAATCCCCTGTGGATAGCACGTCGCAAAGCCCCTCCCCAAGCGAAAGAGCTCATCGACGTGTACGCAACAGAATTACGTGTTCGGGACAATCAAAGTGCCGCAAACCCGAAAGGAAAGAAGAAGATTTCGAGAGACGGAGCTGCAGGAGAGCAGCAGGCGGCGTTTTACACTGTCGACCATATCGTCAATCACCGCCTGTTCAACAAGAAACGGGAGTATCTTGTGCGGTGGGAACACTACGACGAGAGTGAAGACACGTGGGAGAAAGCTGAAAAATTGCGTGCAGATGTGCCGGAGATCGTCCACACGTACGAGGAGCAACTGCACCGCAATCGTGCTCGAACGGAAGCATTTAATTCCGCAATGTCCGAGCTGACTCGCGACGCAGAGCCGAAGTCTTCAACAAAGAAACGGAAACATGGGGAATCTAGCCACGAGGTCTCTTCGGATAGTCGCAAGAGACAGCCTTCAGTGGGCAGAGTCCAAACTGACGGCGAACGTCTAAAGGAGAAGCGACTGCGCATTGCTACGGACGAGGAGAACGAAAGAAAAGCTGTAGACGACGACAGTGCCAGCGAAAACGACTACCAGTTCGAGATGGAAGAGGCAGAGCTGGACGAGTTTAGTGACGAAGAGTTCGCAGACAAGTTGAACAGTTGATCCAGCGAGCTAAAGTCCTTATTAATTTTTGAAGAAGTAGCAAGATTTTGTATGCATCTTGTGCGCTGACCAGAATTGCTGTTTCGAAGCTGGGCTGGACCATACGTACGAATGCGTCAGATAGCAATATAGGGGTGGAAGCGCAGCTCAAACGAAAAAATAACCGTCGTTGTCGAAGGGAGCTCACGTTGTGCTGATGAACGGTTTTCTGTGATGGTACAATCTGCTGACACCCTAAGAAACGGAACACATTTGTCTGCTTTCTGCTTGGAAGTGGCAATTTTTGCTTGATCTCCTTAAAGGGGGCAACCAGCTTGATGCTACAATTGCAGAAGTAGTGTAACTATAGCTCCTAGAAAAACGAACGAAAGTATTTTTATCGAAGACTTCAGCATCTGATCGATCCATCGGAGCCACCCTCACGATGGCTTCACTAAATCATGGGCAATGCTGCAGCAGTCCACAGTGTGACCGAGAGTTCGCGTCGACGCTTGCTGCTGCAGCAATACAATCGCCAGCCGAGGAATGTTCTCGTCAGTAACTCGTTGATGCAGGCCTTCGAGCAGCGTCGGCTTCAGAGTCTACAGCCTCAGTTAGCACACAGCTTTCCCAGAGCCAAACAAACATATCAAGGGTCCAATTACAAAGGGCCACTGCAGTCGCTACCACTGAACGAGATATACGACGTGCTTAAGGATACATTTGGTGTGCAGTTAACTGTCGAAGAGCTCCCAACCGTGCTTCGGCATCTCGGTTGTCGAGTAGTGGAGTCTCCGACTGCAGCTGGCAACTCAGATCCCGCAGAAGATTGGTATTCTCTGCAGGGTCTCGTGGGGTACGTCGCTCCTCGCCGAATACTGAGGCTAGTGAAGAGGCCGCTTGAATGCCCCCACGCCATGGAATTCTCCCACAATAATCTGACGATTTGGCAAGCGGCTAAAATGGGCGACTTGGAAGTACTAGAAGCGGTCTGTTTGGGTCATGGAGACGCCTATCGTGCACTGGATGACTTTGATAACTCGCCTCTGTACTACGCTAGTTTGTGTGGTCGCGAAGTCATCGTCGACTTTCTTCTGAGAGCCTATGGGCGAGAGCGCCGCACAATTGCTCCAGACGAGATGCTGCGTTGTGTGACGAACGCACTGAACCAATACACGCGTGCACTGCTTCAACAGAAAATGACGCTGGAAGAGATACTGAAAGGAAAAGCCGAAGATGACGAAGTGGATGGCGATTGCACAGAAGATGGCGCATGGTTTGGTCTTCTCGCTGATGATAACAATGGATGATATTTTAAAAAATTTATGGGACAAAATAGTGTGAGCCGAACTTGTAGATCCAGTTTCGAGCTGAGGTACATGTACTTGTATTCATTAGAGAGGTTGTGCAACTGTTACAAAACAGCGAAATTGCCCCTGTTTGTTGTCAATCATACCAGGATGAGACTCCCTTCGGTTTACACTAAATAATTATAATTACATATTAGAAGGCACCTAGCGACTAGATTGCAGACGTGCAAGCCAACGTTGAGTGTGGCTGGCTAGAATGGGAGTTAAACTTTTGTGCGCCTTGAAGTTTTTTCAGCCACTGTCGAAGCTGGACTTTATGCTCGCATTGGAACAAGTAAAACCGACTTAGGTGGTGAATGGCCAAGCAGCAGTGCTTTGCGTGGCGAGGGTGCGTGCTTGCTCCTTCATCTCCACCGTGATGCAACGTCAAGTTGAGTTTGTTAGCCTTGTTGACTCGATGAACTGACGACTTGATCGGCACAACACGAATATCCGTGGCATGTGCCATATCCACCACTTCGGACGCTAAAGTCACGCCAAAGTGGCGATAGATTCGGAGAATCCCATCGGCTAAAACACACCAGCGGGTGCTAGTGTGGAAACTCTCAAGTGTCGACTTCATATTGAGGTAACCGCAGATGGAATGCTGTTCGCTAAACGGTCGACTGTGAACGCTAACAAGCCAACGAGGCCTCCCCTTGAAGCGTTCTGATACCTCAAATTTCTCTTCGCCGTGGTCGATGGACTTTGGGGCGTTCCCTCGAGCGTCGGCGAGTGGAAGAGGCTGGTGTTGGGCGGTCTTTGGGAAGATCTCGGCATGACCCATCAATTCCAGCTCCGTCGCCAGACCAGAGCGCCAACAATCTCCAGTTTCGGATAGTCGCAACACTGCTTGACCAAGGAAAAACGTGTTGGGTCCGTTCTTACTGAGCAGAGTAAAACAAAATGTGGCATACCCGTCGGCCCCCGGAACGAACATTTTCTCCGGCCACACAATATCGAGCTCTATTCCGTTGGGAGCCGCAGGCTTTCGGACGCTTGTCTCGAAACAAAAGAGCTGCGTGTCTTGGTCAGTCCCAGACACTACCGTCACATACAAGAACGGATTACACGAGAACCCGTTGCTTAGACGCAGTTCCTCAAGAGAAGAGGACATGTTAATACCCAAGCCAGGACCGTCCAACGGAGTCCCACTACCAGACGGGATAATTGCACGTATGCGCAGTGCATCGATGGCATACGGCTTCAACCGCATTCGCTGTAATCGCTCAAAACGCTGACGAGCTTGTCGTCCTCGCAGTGATGCTTGAATCCGGATAATCGCAGCTTTCTTGTCAGCAAACGAGGTAGCGTCCTTCATCATACGTACGTAAGCCGTGAGAGCATTGGACAGAACTTGTCGTTTAGCAGCTAAATGAGCAGCTCGAGTTTCTGCTGATCTCTCGTCATACTCGATCTTCAACTCGGACTGACAATGAGAACACAGCCAGGACGAAAAAGAGGAGTTTGTCGTGGCTGTATGCGGAACAACAAATGTAAGTTTTGACTTTCTGTCCTCTTGATCGTAAGCTGCCAAATAACAGCGGGGATGAGCCACGACGTTGCACGTTGCGCACTCCAGCTCTCCACCCGCAAGGTTGCAGTATTCACATCGAGAAGCACGTTGAAACCGCGTTCCATCGAAGAGGAAACGTGTCGGAATAACTTTTCGTGGGGGCTCTTTCGCAGAGACTTTAAGACGTTCGCGGTGGTTCTTGCTGACGACCACCTTCGTCACGTCAACTAAGCTGCTCCGACGGTGAAGTACGATGGGATCGCTGTCCTGTCGGGTCATACCGGTCTCTTTCGAGTGCTTCGCAACAGAACCAAACTCAGTCTTTGTATTCATCTCATCCAGCACGGTCTGTAACGTTTTTCGGTGTGGTTTCCGGTATAACGCAGTGTCTTCAAACCGCTCAAGAAGTGGGGCCACATCTCCACGCACAAATTCAGCTTTCGATTGGCTCTGGAACATACTCGCCCAATAGGATGAAGCGCGTTGTGAGCCGCCGTGTTTTGAGTCAGTGTGGGGCAGTTCTACTTCACTGAAGTTGTTGGTTCTCGACTGTGGTGCATCTCCTCTAACTTGAAGTACAGGTGTTGAAAATGGCGACACGTTCGGAATGCAAACCTTGGAATTCGAGCTGTTAAATCCTGGTACAGGGGCACTTGAGTTGCCATAGCTGACCTCTATCGGAGGCAAGAGCGGCGACGAGCGCATGTGTTTGTCCTTAAAATTAGCGCGTCACGTTATTTACTGATGATCTGAATGAGAGAGCGCGGAACAAATTATTTGATTTTGAAATGGGAGCTCGCAAATACATTATTTTACTGCAAAATAAAAATTATATTTAATAAAAAAACATTTTAAACAATACAGTAGTAATTGTCATCAGCACATATTACTTCTTTTCCACGTCAATCTAAACTATCTATCTTTTGTGGATCTAGTGACAGCGTTTATAAGCACAGCTTTGTTCTTTACGGCAAGCCCACACGACCGGCTACTGCTGTACATGTAACATGTACGATTTAGCAATACCAGAAACCCACTCAGATAACTTATTATTAATAATGCTAATATCTTTACAATACAAAAATTGAAATTATCATTTTAGTCAGTGTAACTCGCAGATCCTACTGAGTACAGAGTATTTAGTATACTTAAACCATGTCCTCGGAAACACGCATGCTTACGTGTACCTGCCCTCCGTTTAGTACTCAAATATCAATGCATTATGAAAAAGTATAAAATATTAAAACGATCCCGCCTTCGGATAATGTATTAGCTTTGTGCAAATCCCCATATGTAAACTGGGAAACACATGCATTTATTGATGTCAACTACACATTCTAGTTTTAACCAATTGAAGCCACCTTCGCTGCGCTCGGCAGCCAGTAGAAATATTTAAATTATTTTATCCAATGATATGTCCGGAAAAGCGTGACAGGCACGACAATTTAGTGTGACGGACAGACAGGTTGCTGCAGTAGATGTTTAAGACTAGCCGTTCGCCGCCGCTACGCGGCGGAGTGGCATGGTTTGTTGGAGATGAGGTGGCCGCAAATTTAAGTGTTTCTTGGTGTCGCGTACTTTGTGAGCGTTGTTCACCCCAGTAGGTCCTGGCCTCGTGTACTTAACCACTTACCATTCCGTAGTCTCTCCCAGACCCGTATAATATCGTGGTTTAGTACGCTTCCGTTACCCCGTACTACCGGGTGGGATGTCATGTTCTTCAGGGGCCGGCGCTCTTATGTGATCTTCCTGGCTTCGTGGTTTCGTGCTCACCCGTGGCACACTCTGCTTAGTGATACACTCTCTCTCTTTTTGGGTTCATTCTCTTTAGTACGGTCTCTTTCGAGGCTGCTACCTATTCTCTGTTCTCAAACGTTTACGTGGGTTGCACCGGTTTCGTGGTACGTAGTTTTTCGTGGTCGTTGGCCTCCCGTTGCCAATACGATTTCCGAAGGGTGCTATTCCGTGGTTTAATGCCTCCACGCGCTCCTGTTGTTTCGTCGCCCTTGTATCGTACTCTCCTGGTGAGGCTTCATTATCGCGCTATCGTGCAATCGCAGTGTGTCTCTGTTGTCTATGCAATCGAGCTCGCATAGTATATATGTTTTGCTCATGCTATCATGTTCTACGCTAATACCATGCTCCACGTTGTGGAATCGTGATCTCCCGGATCCTTCTCCCGTCATTTCTTGGCTGGTCCGCCGTCATACTATTGGATATTAATGCGCATAAGCGTTGGCCTCCCATTGCCAGTACTCTAGACTACGGGTGCTATTCCGTGGATTGGTGCCTCCACGCAGTCGTGTTGTTCCGTCGCCCGTTTGTCGTGCTCTCCTCGTGAGGTTCCATCGACCGCATAATTCTGCTATCGAGCAATTGCGGTGTGGTAATGCTCTCTATGGTATTGTAGTGCATCGGCGTTGCCAGTGTTTTATCGTGTCCTATAATGACATTGTACTCTGCGGTGTGCCATCGTCGTCACCCCATCGTGTTCCAACCGCTGCTCTTGTTTGGTCGGTTGACTGTGCTCCGTGTTCTACTGTGGTGTTATGGGAGAATTCCTGTCCGTGCACGCTTACAGTTACGTGTTCTACCGTGGCTTCTAACGTCCAGGCTCTACCCTAACTTCTTACGTCCGTGCTCTTCCGTAGCTATGCTTTTCAGCATGCTGGGGTGTCTATATATTTTATTATCTTCCGTGGCCCGTACTCTCCCGTCATATTCTTGTCCTTCTGTACTTTTCATGGCCGCGTGCTCTTCCGTTTTTCACGCTACGTATACAATTCGTGGTTTGCATCGGCTAAGTCATCTAGCATCGTCCATGGCCTTCCGTGCTTCGTGTTGCTCTTCAATCCCAGCGTCTACATAGTGTGGGTCGGTGTTCCATCGTGTTTCGTGTT